TAGATCGTAGCTGGTGGTGGTGTTGGGGTGGAGATCACATCATGAATAGCAGAAGCTAGAGCAGCTTTCGCCAACCTGCGACACCTGAGGCGCCGCCGTGACATCCGACTGTCCGTTAAGGAAGGCGTGTACATTGCCGCGGTTCGTAGCGTTCTCACTTACAGTTGCGAGACCTGGCCCCTGAGGATGATTATCGGCTTTCTGCATTCGACCACCGATGTCTCCAAAGCAATGCTCGTGTCTGGTGGGAAAATCAGGTGAGCAATGACGAGGTTCGTCGTAGTGTTTTGGGTGTGGATAGTCGCTCTCTAACAGAAGTAATCGCTCTACACCACCTCCAATGGTTTGGCCACGTTATGCGTATGTCTGCCCGTCGACTACCCTTTCGTGCTCTCTTTGCATGTGCCTGGTAAGGCTGGAAGAAGCGCCATGACGGTCAGACTATGACATGGCGTAGAGGAATAGAGAAGCTGACCTCAGGTTTGGCTTTGGTTGGTGCAGCCTGCTATCCTTGTTGGGGCCCCAAGGATGAGGAATGTCGTTGGTGGGAGACGCTGAGAAATATGACCTAGAATAAAAATCAGTCGCGTGAATGCTGTACGGTTTGCCTGTTGAAGTCCCGTGTGCTACAAATTCCTACAAAAAGTTTCAGAAATTGTACGGAGAAGCACAGAAAATTTTGTTATTCCAGTTATTTACAATTTTTCATTCTAACAGTTTCACCTTCTTTTGGCTCTGTTCTGTATCCCAATCCACCCATCCCCTGTTATTGTTATCATTGTTGTGGTGTTGGCACCATGCTTGACCGTAAGCCGGTGGTGTTTACAGGTATTGACCAAACTCGTGCAACACCCTGACACTTTCATCACGTTTGTTTCTCCGAACGCTTAGTTTTTCCAGCTTCATTCACGGGATTGAATATGATATTGTCCCACATCAGACGAGACATTCGTAATAATACTCATCTATGTCTTTCCTTCTGTTACTTGGATGTTCATAATAAAATGTACGATTTCTCAATTTTGACGATGATTGCTCGTGCAAGAGTTGTAAAACAACAAAGCCGCATAACTAGAATTTATTTATTGAAATGAATCATAGACTTCATACAGGTATTATACTTTTATTGACCCTTATTCATTTTTGAGCACTGGAGGCAGTCGCTTCAACATTGAGTCGGCTAATTTGATTATCCAACAGAATTTGTCAGTTTCCTCTAATACATGCCGCACCCCAACCACTGTCGAGGCAGCTAACTTATCCCTGTTTCATCAGAACACAAGTCCGAAGGCGAACAATTGTTTTCGAATGATTCATAATCGTGCCTTCGGACTTGTGTTCTGATGTTACAATGGGATTATTTCGGAATTATCCCTGTTTCTTACACGGAAAATTTTTATATTACATTTAAATCTCAACTACAGAGCGTTAATTGAATGAATCCGACACTGGTCTTCATCCATCCAGAAAATGCATAAATTTGAAAAATATTTAATGAGGTCAAACCGTTATCTACTACCAACCTCAAGTCAGACGATATACTAACCTTCAGTTGTGAAAAATATGACTTCCGCAAATGCATTTTGGTAGTGACAGTTATCAAAAACTTCCGTTATCAGTGTAAGAAATTTTACGATATCCAGATCGGTATGTACAGGAGACCAACAAAAAGGCGCTCAGTATTTATTTCCCTTCAGACTAGTTAGGCTGGATGCATATTTACATCTTTTGACAAGTAAACCGAAATTCCTTTGAAACTAAGGTCAGTGGATCAGCTTTCCCTGTCTGTTAAATTGCCCGTTGTCAACCGGCGGACGTGAACGATGTATGCCCCCCCCCTTATTTTCACTCAAGGCCGTGTAAAAAAAATTAGGTAATTTTTTTACCATAATAAATCATAACTAATTATTCATGGCTACTTATCAAAAAGTTGACCATGGTCGTTTTTGTTTTAATTTGTGACCTTGAAATCATGTCGGGCCGTTCCAACCTGCACAAAATCCTTGACCAAATCGAAGGTTTGGCTTGTGTGTAATACCTTCAGGATCGTGGTCTTCTTCCAAAGGATAAATTGTGTGTGTGGACACCTAATGCGTGTGCAGGAGTACAGCCACAGCAAGGATGCCTGTGTTTTACGTCGTAAATGCAAGAGGCATAGCTCCATATGTGCTGGATAATTTGTTGCGAAGTCCAATTTGTCTCTGGATAAACTTATGGAAATCATTGTTTATTTCGTCATGGAGGAACCTGTGACGCGTGCAGCAGTCATGGCTAATGTGAGCAAGAAAAGTGCCATACAATGGTACACATACTGCAGGGATATATGTTCTTCTGTGATGTGTTCAATGACCATACAACTGGGAGGACCCAATACTGTTGTGGAGGTGGATGAAACAAATTCGGCAGAGGAAGACCGCATTCCACCAT